AAATATTGAAAATGAAAAGTATTTAATAGATCAAAAATTAAAACGCTAAGCTTCATCCTAAGAAGATTATTAGTTCAACAATCACGTTCAAAATTCAATTTGTATGTCTTGCAATCAAAGCCCAAAAATGAAAATAGTAAAAAATGACCCATTGAAAAACATTGATTAAGCTATCTAGATTCTTGTATGTTGAATCAAGACATTATGGATATCCAAACATATAAATACATTTCTTAATTATTAAATGAAGAATTGAATCGAAGAGTTATAGAAACATTACTATAATCGATCCTTAAAAGAAGAGTGGAAAGAACTCTAAAGCTCTCTATATCTACAATCCGAGTTATACATGTTAACTATATAAAACAAAATCTATCTACAATACTTAGTTATACACGTGTTAAATCTATATTGAAAATTATTAATTGAAGTTGTCACCATATTAAATAAACCAAGGCTTGATACTAAGAAAAAATAATTGCTTCAACACAGTAAGCCGGATCAAATCTTGAGCCAAATATAAAATATTCCAAATGATGAATTAAGTGTCACAAACTCTCATGTCAAATAACTGCTGCAGGGCAGTTTTTAATATTCTAAGGGAGCAGTGACCTTCCATTATGGAGTGGCGGTTCGCGTCTTCCGTTATGGAGTGGCGGTTCGCGTCTTCCGTTATGGAAACAAAAGCATGTCCTCTCCTGCAACACCAAAACAAATCAAGAAATATATGCTCTATAAAGAGTTAATAAACAAAAAGAATTTACAAAAGATGATCAAATCAAATCTCGAAGTTGTCTTGCAATAATGGTTATTAATTAGACAAACACATATGTAAAACATGTTCTGAGGTCAATTCGAATGTCTTGACATCAAATAAAATAAATAACTATTAACAGAGATTAAATCATTGGAAAAAATAGGATTTATCCTTAGTGTTCTTGGTTCTTATCTGTTCTTGTCCATGTGAAACTACAAATATTTAGACTTCCCCACTGTGTAAGATACCAATTTTAACGGAGAAGACTGTTATTCCCATAAATCAAATAAGGGATGTAAATAATTTATAACAAAGAAAGTGAGGGATGCCCATTAGATTAGGAGAGGAAAAACCAGATTAAAGTGCATAAGTAGTGGGGAGTGTCCGACACACAGCCTGCTAAAGTTGATAATCTGTACCAATATAGCAAAATCGTGTAGAGAGCAGTCTCCCATTTCTCCATTATAGACCAGTGCCAATACAGCAAAATCGTGTACAGAGCAGTCTCCCATTTCTCCACTATAGACCAGTACCAATACAGCAAAATCGTGTACAGAGCAGTCTCCCATTTCTCCACTATAGACCAACTAAAAAGGTGAGTGAGTGAATAATTAGAAAACTTTTGTTTGTAGAGCAAACTTGGTGGCTAAGAATCTTATTCTGTCAATAAGAGAGTTAACTGTGACAAATATGTTGCAGAAAAAGAACCGATAATAAAGAGTTGATATGGAAGAATTCTCTAAACCAAGTTGCAGATTATCACAACATAGAGAGGCCCGCCAATTTGTAAACTTCTGCAACCCTTAAAAGAGGATCGATACTACACAGAATGTTACTCCACACTACACAGCATAAAACAGAGTTATAGTTCATATCACATGTATGGCGATAAAAGCCAAGAACAAAATCAAACCTAAGAGTCAAGAAACCAGAAAGACCAGGGGAAATAAAAGAACAAGAGTAATATGGTTTCAAAAGAGATAAAGAATTATTGAAAACAGAATTTAAAAGAAATCATCAAATCAAAACTCAAGCTGCAAAAAAACATGTCTATAATTCAAATTGTATGTCTTGTGATCAAGTCCCAAAATAACAATAATAATGTACCGTTTCTATACCATTATCATTCTTATCCATTGTAATCAAGAACTGCAAATTGCTCTAGATATCTAGAAATCAGCTCGCTACATTATTGGTAATTGCGTGTCAATATTCTTTTAATTTTGATGGGATTGAACGATATCAAATGAAGCATTATATAAAAAAACCTGCACATGTTATCAAAAGAAAAGTATCACAAATCCAAAAACTAACACACGTACGTATGTAAGACAATAATGCATACAATAACCAATATTATCCACGGCTAAACGCAAAGTATGTGAATGTCTTCTTGTCACAGGTTCTGTAGCAAATCACAAGGAACTGATAAGATAAGAGTAGATAATGAATATGAAAAGGACAGAAATGTGAGGAGTCTAAGTAAAGATGACCAAATTAAGACACAACCTGCAAAAGATGATGAAGTATACAACACATCCTATGTTCGACAACCAAGCTGCAAAAAATCACATTAAAAATTCAAATTGTATGTCTTGCAATCAAAGCCCAAAAATAAAAATAGTTAAAAAATGACCCATTTAAAAACAGTGATGTAGTTTATCTTGAGTTATTGTCTGTTGTACCAGGACATTATGGATATATAAACTTCTCAGCTTGCTGTGAAAAAGGTGAATGCATCTCTTAATTACTAAATGAAGAATAGAATTTAAAAGTTATAGAACACAAGAAATCAAGAAAATCTGGCAACCAAATCAAGGAATCAAGAAACTGAGAGAAAATTGAACAGAACACAAATCAAACTTAAGAATCAAGAAATCGAAAGAATTCCTCTCCTACAACACCAAACAGTACATAAATCAATAAATATATGATCTATAGAGTTATTAAATGAAAATAATTTACAATACGAACTAACAGAATAGTAAATCAATATAGCAGTAAAAGAAACAGTTATGGAAATATGGGAAGAAAGAGCTTTATTGATTAGTATGGAAACAAATACAGAGAGCAGAATGAATCAATCCCACAATGGGCCCATAGCTATGCTCCTATAGGATCCTAGAGTATCCTATCCATTCCTTCTAGATCTAGCTACAATCCAGATGATTATTCCCTCTACTGACTGCTCCTTATATTGTGGAAACGTACTCCCCCCTCCTTCATGCCACCTCATGATTGGTAACTAACTCATCCTCTAATTCCCCTTTTTACCCCTTCTAGAATATACTTTCCAAACTCTGGGACCACTAGAGGTGTGGTGAATTAATTGTTCTGGTAACTGTAAATTATTGTCATTGTTTCTATCGGATGACCAAATAAATATAACAAAAAATGAATCATTGGAAAAATTGGTTTTTATCAGTAGTGTTCTTGGGTGACAAATATTTACACTTCTACCTTTCAGATACCACTTTGGCCAAGAGGGCTCTTATTCTTATAAATCAAAAAAGACAAAGGAAGTGAGGGATCCATTGACGCCCTCATGGCATGCAGGGTTCACATATTAAGAATGGGAGTATGAAGCATACAAGATTCTAGATGCCTCTTTTGCTCTCCTAAATGGGTGGAGTGTCTGACACACAACCTGCAAAAGTGATGATTTGTTCCAATCCAGCAAAATCATGTACAGATACAGTATCTTTTAGGAATATCATAGTCATAATCATCATAAATCACAAATAAAAACAACATATGTTCTCAAAAACGAATCAATACACAAATCCATAAAGAAAACAATATCAGCAAAACCTGACATCAAGCCATCACGGAGCAAACCAATCTGGAAAAGTTGAGAATAAAGAAATCAAAATCATATTGTTCTACTAGAGATTGAACGAAAAGATTTTACTAGAGATCAAGAAAATCTGGCAACCAAATCGAAACAGAGAGAAAATTGAACAGAACAATCAAACTTAAGAATCAAGAAATCGAAAGAATTCCTCTCATACAACACCAAACAGTACACAAATCAATAAATATATGATCTATAGAGAGTTATTAAATGAAAAGAATTTACAAGAGATGACCAAATGAAAACTCGAGGCTGTCTTGCAATGAAGGTTATTAGTTTGACAAACCACACTGCAGAAAAGATGTTGCAAGTTTAATTCGAATGTCTTGACATCAAAGCAAAGAAATAAATATAACAAAAAATGAATCATTGGAAAAATTGATTTTTATCAGTAGTGTTCTTGGGTGACAAATATTTACACTTCTACCTTATCAGATACCACTTTGGCCAAGAGGGCTCTTATTCTTATAAATCAAAAAAGACAAAGGAAGTGAGGGATCCATTGACGCCCTCATGGCATGCAGGGTTCACATATTAAAAATGGGAGTATGAAGCATCATCATAAATCACAAATAAAAACAACATATGTTCTCAAAAACGAATCAATACACAAATCCATATAAAGAAAACAATATCAGCAAACCCCGACATCAAGGCATCGCGGAGCAAACCAATCTGGAAAAGTTGAGAATAAAGAAATCAAAATCATATTGTTCTACTAGAGATTGAACGAAAAGATTTTACTAGAGAAATCAAAATCTTGAGAATTGATCGGTCCATAATTAAAAATGCCTCCCTGCAAAATGTATAAACACATCTCTCAGTTACCAAATGAAGTCAGTGCCGATAATGAACTCTTGAGTTCCACAATCTTAGAAAACGAATCAATACTCAAATCCCTAAGAAAATAGGATCAACAAACCCTGACATCAAGACATCGCGGAGCAAACAATCTGCAAAATTTGAGAATCAAGAAATCAAAATCATATTGTTATACTGCAGAAAAACAAGCATATAATCGATGATTCAAGAAAGAGATGGATATGGACTATAAAATCATAAATACTGAAGATCTCTTAATGATTGGATTTGTAATTCTAAAAACAATTAAACATAAAATACAACATTAGCACATTACATTGCACAAATACATTTTCAAGGGAAAAATGAACCGTTAAATCCAAGGGCGCTGCTCTAAGCATGTTCTTAATAATGGCCACCATCACGACTTTTAAAATTCCCTGTAAAACCAAAGTAAACACAATTGCTGATAATCTTTGCCACGAAGAACTTAACATATCCCCCTGCGACACCCACCACATAGAACTCATGAAAGAATCAAAAAAGCTAATCGTGAAGAATTCAATCAGAGAAGAGATCACGATATGAATGAAAGCACAACAACAGCATATTGCAGATTCTGTGAGACTTTTATTTAGGAAAGAAAATTCTTATTCTTATGTAAGACACAATTCACAAGAAAATAGGGGAAATGATTATAACATGGAAAATCAATCCAAACAAAAGAGTGCCAAACCAGGTACTTATTTTGTGTGCTTCATATTCACGTTCCTGGTGCAGAAACACAAACTCAACTGTAGCAAAACATGCCATCAAAAGAAAAGAATCACAAATCTGAAAACTAATACATGTACGCAATACAACAACCGATCTTATCTCAGGCTGAACGCAAGGTATTTGTATGTCTTCCTGTCACAAAGTCGATAGCAAATCACGACGAACTGACAAAAGTAGATGTTAAATATAAGTAGAGAATTAAGGCCTAGCAACAGCATGGATTATGAAGTATACGACACAACCTGCAAAAGATGATAATTCATTGGAACAGATTTCATCCAATTTGCAACATTGTATACCCATATGAAATGACAATTTTATCTTCATCCTAATCCAGAGGAGTACTTTAACCACTCAAGGAAGACGATATATTTTTTGGAGTATAATCATCATCATAAATCACAAATAACAATAACTGTTAAAAATGTGGAAACAGTTGAAAGGAAGAAGAAAGAGAAAGAAAGATAGAGAGAGAAAGTAGATCTCAATGCTAACAGAATTGTGTATCTTGTTACAATAGAGGACAAAACTGAGTTATATACTCAGCACAGTGATATTACAATATTACCCTTTCTACTACTGATGTATATATTCTAATAAATGAGATTGGCTACATGGATCCACTTTTGCCATAATGTTCTATCAAAAACCATGCTTCTATCTAAATCATTAATCTCAAGATCTTCCTTAATAACTTCTCTTATAGTCTATTTAAGTCTTCATCTTCCTCTAAACTCTTCTCCTAAATGCTTGTCTTTTCTCCATCTACTCTCCTTACCACCTATATTAGAGACGTTACGTCGACACTCTCTAATATGGCCCAAGAGATAAGAAAAGTAGATCTCAATGCTAACAGAATTGTGTATCTTATTACAATAGAGGACAAGACTGAGTTATATACTCAACACAGTGATATTACAATATTACCCTTTCTACTACTGATGTATATATTCTAATAAATGAGATTGGCTACATGGATCCACTTTTGCCATAATGTTCTATCAAAAAGCATGCTTCTATCTAAATCATTAATCTCAAGATCTTCCTTAATAACTTCTCTTATAGTCTATTTAAGTCTTCATCTTCCTCTAAACTCTTCTCCTAAATGCTTGTCTTTTCTCCATCTACTCTCCTTACCACCTATATTATAGACGTTACGTCGACACTCTAATATGGCCCAAGAGATAAGAAAAGTGACTAAAGAGACATTTGGTGAATCAAGAGGTTTTGAACCTAAGGGTAAAGAATCATGGTGGTGGAATGAAATTTTGAACCTAAGGGTAAAGAATCATGGTGGTGGAATAAAATTTTGAACCTAAAGGTAAAGAATCATGGTGGTGGAATGAAATTTTAAACCTAAAAGTAAAGAATCATGGTGGTGGAATGAAAGTGTCCAGAGTAAAGTTAGAGTAAAAAAGAACTGCTTTAGAGTGATGGAGATGTAAAAATGTTGAAACTTGAGAAAAGTACAAGAAACCTAAAAACCAAGTAACCGAAAAATTAACCATGAAGATCAAACAAGAGGAAGATAGAACTAGAAGAAATCATGTGTTCACATATTAGATATCCTCCAACACCAAAGAGTAAATACCAAATCAAAGAGGATATGCTTTCAGAATCAAAGAAGAAATTTTAAAAATGAAAAGAATTTATTAGAGGTCACCAAATCAAAAATTAAAACACCAAGTTCCATGCTATATAGCGGGCAATCATAGTTCAACCACCTTACATAAAATTTTATTCAAAATTCAATTTGTATGACTTACAAGCAAAGCCCGAAAATCAAAATAGTAAAAAATGATCCATTGAAAAACTTTGATGTATTTGTTTGAGTTATTATTCTCCATTCTTGTCTATGGTATCAAGACATTATGGATATCCAAATTTCTCAGCTTGCTATGAAATGGATAAATGTGTCTCTTAATTAATAAATGAAGAATTGAATCTAAAAGTTATAGAAAAAATACAATACAAAAGCAATATGCAAATTATTAATGATTTCCTTTACCACATACAAAAACAAAGACTAACTAACCCTTAAGAAGAGAAATCAAGAAAATCTGGCCAACGAATCAAGAAATTAAAAGAATTCCACTCCTGCAACACCAAACGGTAAATAACAAATCAATAAATATATGATCTATAGAAAGTTATTAAACAAAAAGAATTTACAAGACATGACCAAGTCAAAACTCATGGCTGTCTTGCAATGAAGGTTATTAATTTGACAAACTACTGCAGAAAAGATGTTCCAAATTTAATTAAAATGTCTTATCAAACAAAGAAATAAATATAACAAAAAACGAATCATTAAAAAAATTGGTTTTATTTGTAGTGTTCTTGGTTCTTATTTGTACATGGTAACAAATATTTACACTTCTCCTGTGTCAGAATACCATTTTGGCAGAGAAGACTCTTACACTTATATTTCTTTTGCTTCATATTTGTTCCTAATACAAACTCCAATTGTAGCTAGACATGCCATCAAAAAGCAAACTAGAAGAAAATTCTTATTCTTATACTTACATAAAATTTTATTGACAAGAAAATAAGGGAAATAATTATAACATGGCAAATCAACCCAAACAAAAGAATGCCAAACCAGGTTGTTTGAAATTCCTAAACCTCCCAAAGATGTACTTAATTTGTATGCTTCATAACCGCGTCCCTGATGCAGAAACACAAGCTCCAACTTGTACTTGTATTGCTGCATAACCACATCCCCAATGCAGAAACGCAAACTCAAACTGTAGCTAGACATGCTATCAAAAGAAAAGTATCACAAATCCGAGAACTAATGCAGGTACGTACTTAATTTGTATGCTTTATAACCACGTCTCTGATGCAGAAACACAAACTCCAACTTGTACTTAATTTGTATGCTTCATAATCACGTCCTTGATGCAGAAACACAAATTCCAACTGTTTGTATGCTTCATAACCACGTCCCTGATGCAGAAACACAAATTCCAACTGTTTGTATGCTTCATAACCACGTCCCTGATGCATAAACACAAATTCCAACTGTAGCAAGACATATATTAAAAAATAATACAACAACCAATCTTATTCCAAGCTGAACACAAAGTATGAGAATGTATTCCTGTCACAGGTTCCATAGCAAATCACAAGGAACTGACAAAAGTAGATCTTGAGTATGAAAAGACAAAAATATAAAGAGTCTAAGTAGAGATGACCAAATTAAGGCCTAGCAACAGAATGGACTATGACAATTTTGCAAGATTGCGCACCCATATGATAAAATAGTAACAGAAAATTATAAATACAAAGAAAACCCCACAATTTAAAACAAAATTATAATTCATTATCATTTGAGAAAAGATTGTCTCTGAAATGTTATTATTGAGACGTTCAAAATATTAAGTAATTTAGAACAAATTCTATCTACAAGGACAGCATATTTTTCAAGGTTAGCAATGCTTTTATTTCTACAATACTTAGTTATACACATGTTAAATCTATATTGAAAATTATAGTTGAAAGATAGAATTAATTATTAAATAACCAAATCAAAACCTAAGAGGAAAATAAAAAATAGAGAAATATATGCTCTTAGAATTGATAAAGAAATACAGAAATGAAAAAGTTACTAGAGATCACCAAATCAAAACTAGAAGCTCTGCACTATGAAGAACATTATTTTGCTTAGCCACATTATAGCAAAATAAGTTCACGGTTCAATCCGCATGCCTTTACTAAGAGAAGCCAAAAGCAAAAATAGTAAAGAACAACTCATTGAAGAAATAAGATACACAACTTCCTTATCCATTGTATCAAGTATCTTCAAACATTCTAGATATCCAAACGTGTATCTCGATCATCCAAGAAAGAGATGGATATGAACTATAAAATCATGAATACTGAAGATCTCATAATGATTAGATTTGTAATTCTGAACACAATAATCAACATTAGCACATTATATTACTATAGAAAAGAAACTATTACAAGGAGAAAAAAATGAACCATTAAATACAAAGGGGTTCTAAGCATGTCCTTACAATGCCCACCACAGCTTTCAAATCCCCTGTAAAACCATATTAAACACAAGTGGTTTATAATATCTGCCACTAAGTACTTTACTTATCCCCCTGTCACGCTCACCACATAGAACTCATGAAAGAATCAAGAAAAGTAATCGTGAACAATTCAATCAAAGAAGAGATCACCACATTAACGGACAACAGCATCAAACTACAGATTATGTGAGAGACATCTATTTGGGAAAGAAAATTCTTATTCTTATACTTATATCGGACACAATTGACAAGAAAATAAGGGAAATAATTATAACAATGAAAATCAACAATAGAGTGCCAAATAAGGTTTGTCCTAAATTCCTCAACCTCGCTAAGAGGTACTCTATAATTTTGTATGCTTCATGTTCACGTTCCTGACGCAAAAACACAAGCTCCAACTGTAGCAAGACATGCTAACAGAAGAGGAGTATCACAAGTACAGGGATACCCATTAGGAGTTGTTTGCACTAGAATCTTGTTCTCAAGAGGGCAAACACAGTACAGAATTCCTTATTCTCAAGAGGAATACTTTTTTTTTTAAAAGTCGTTGATTTATAAATATCACAAGTACAGGGATACCCATTAGGAGTTGTTTGTACTAGAATCTTGTTCTCAAGAGGGAAAACACAGTACAGAATTCCTTATTCTCAAGAGGAGTACTTTTTTTTAAAAAGTCGTTGATTTATAAATATCAACAACCTATTTACATTTTGAAAGAAAACACAAACAAATGCTGCTGCCAAGACTCAAACCCTGGACCAACAGCCCCTAACCCAGCTAGCAATTGCCAACTGAGCTACCCCACCCACCTAATACAAAACATAAAACTCAAACATACACAATCAGAGGACAACTATCCCAAAACAAACACAATATAGGCTGAATGGAAAGTATGTATGAGAAACTCAGCATGCCATGAGTTCCACAGAAAACACACAGGCTAACACCGACACAACTCAAAGAACCAGACAAAAATACATGTTGAGTATCAAATCAAACAAAAGTGTGCAAGTCTTAGTAGTGATGACCAAATTAAAGTGCACCAATAGAAGGAAGCGTCTGACACACAACCTGCAAAAGTTGGTGATTTGTTCCAATCCAGCAAAATAGAAGATTATACATAGCAAAAAAGAAACTTATCTCCCATTTCTCCTCTCTAGACCAACCAAAAAGGTGAGAGTGTGATTGAGAATTAAGAAAACTTATGTTCTACAGCAAACTTGATGGCAAGGAACCTTACTATGTCAACAACAGACAATAAATATACAAAAAAAATAAACTGCGACAAATAGGTTGTAGAAGAACCAAGAATAAAGAAATAATATGGAAGAATTCTCTAAACCAAGTCGCAGATTAGCATCTTAACAGAGAGAGGCCTGCCAATTTGTCCGGATGTCTCCAAAATTATGTAAACTTTTGCACTGTCTGAAACAAAAACCCTAATGTAGGACAAACATTTGTAAAATAGAGGCTTTATACTAAACAGAATGTTATTGTACTCTACACTGCATAAAACAGAGCCATATTTCAATTCACATGTATGGCGATAAAAGCCAAGAACAAAATCAAACCTCAGAATCAAGAAACAAAAAAGAAATTAGATTTACAAAACATGAAGAATAATATGCTCACAAACTACCATTCCTGCAAGACCAGAGGAAATAAAAGATCAAGAATGATATGCTTTCAAAAGGGATAAAGAATTATTGAAAACTTAAAGATTTTAATAGAAACCATAAAATCAAAACTCAGGCAGTTTTATTTTGACAAACCCTGCTGCAAAAAACAGGTCTAGAATTCAAATTGTATGTCTTGTGATCAAGTCCGAAAGAAAAATAATAAAGAATGTATCCTTTCTATACCCTTATCGTTCTTAACTCTTGTAATCAACAACTGCAAACTGCTCCAGGTATCTAGAAATCAGCTCGCCGCAATGCTGATAATTGTGTCAATATTCTTTTAATTTTAACAGCATTGAACAATACCAAATGAAGCATTATATAAAAAAACCTACACATAATATCAAAAGAGAATTGAAAAACAATTGATAAAAACCCAAACAAGTCCATTAAAATGAGAACAGCAAACTCCAAAATCAAAACCAGCAAGGACCAGATCAAACCCCTACATCAAAGACCAATATAACCAAGGAAAAAAAGGAGAGAATATAAAAACTTGAATATCAAAGAAGAGGAAGATTGAACCAGAAGGAATTGTGTTTCATATGTACCTAAATGTTACCTCTCCTGTAACACAAAAGGGGAAAATAACATATCAAGAAATATATGCTCTTAGAATTGATAAAGAAATACCAAAACGAAAAAGTCACAAGAGATCACCAAATCAAGACCTCCTAATGGTTAGATTTGTAATTCTGAAAACAACTAAACACAAAAATCAACATTACTACATTACATTCCCATAGAAAAGAAACTATTACAACACGAGTACATTTTCAAGGAAAAATCAACCGTTAAATCCAGAGCGCTCTAAGCATGTCCTTAATAATGTCCACCACAGATTTAAAAATCCCCCATAATACCAAAGTAAACACAAGTGGTTGATAATCTTGGCCACGAAGAACTTAACATATCCCCCTGTGAAGCCCACCAACAAAGAAACAAAAAAACTAATCGTGGAGAATTCAATCAGAGAAGAGATCAGTCACCACATGAAAGCACAAGAGCAGCAAATTGCAGATTCTGTGAGAGACGTCTATTTGGAAAAGAAAATTCGTATTCTTATACTTATATAAGACAATTGACAAGAAAATATGGGAAATAATTACAACAAGGCAAATCAACCAGAACAATAGTGCACCAAACCAGGTTGTCAGAGATTCCATAACCTCCCTAAGATTTTGTCTATATTTTGTATACTTCATATTCGCATTCCTGATGCAGAAACACAAAAACTACAAATGTAGCAAGACATGCCATCGAAGAAAATTCGTATTCTTATACAATTGACAAGAAAATAGGAGTAACATCGCAAATCAACCCGAACAACTGAGTACCAAACCAGGTTGTTTGAAATTCCTCAACCTCCCTAGGATGTATTTATTTTGTATGGTTCATATTCAGGTTCCTGATGCAGAAACACAATCAAGAACTTTAGCAAGACATGCCATCAAAAGAAAAGTATCACAGATTCAAAAACTAATACAGGTATTAAGGAACTGACATGTTTATGAAAAAGATTAAAATGTGAAGTGTCTAAGTACAACACAAGAAATCAAGAAAATCTGGCCACCGAATCAAGGAATCAAGAAAAGAGAGAAAATTGAACAGAACACAATCAAACTTAAGAATCAAGAAATCTAAAGAATTCCTCTCCTGCAACACCAAACAATAAATAACAAATCAATAAAGATATGTTCTATAGAGAGTTATTAAACAGAAAGAATTTACAAGAGATGACCAAATCAAAACTCAGGACTGTTGCAATGAAGGTTAATTTGAATTCCTTGACATTTGAAGCAAAGAAATAAATATAACAAAAACCAAATCATTGAAAAAATTGGTTTTATCTATAGTATTCTTGGTTCTCTTGGTGACAAATATTTACACTTCTTCACTGTGTCAAATATCACTTTGGCCAAGAAGACACTTTATTCTTATATGTCAAATAAGACAAAGGAATTGAGGGATACTGGATTATACTTGTTAGTTGTTACTTGTATATCACACTGCAGTTCCTTATTCTCAGTAGGGCAAAAGAGGTATACTAGAATCTTGTATGCTTTATTATAGTCCATTTCTAATACAAAAACACAAAAAATCAAACTATAGCGGGACAAACAATAAGAGGACAAGTATCCCAAAACACATATACCAAATTAAAAGTATCAATAGTAAGGAGTGTCCAACACGCACGCAGCCGGCGAAATCATGTACAAAGCGGTCTTTGAGACACTGTACCAAAGAAGGTATCTTTTAGGAATATGATAATCATCATAAATCACAAATAAAAATGACAAAATAGAAGAATATAGAAAACCTTTCCCAACAAAGACATACAAAGTTAAGCTGTCCCCAACAAATTATCAGAACAAACAGATCACGTGTTGTCTGAAATTCAACACAAGTACATTTTCAAAGAAAAATGAACTATTAAAGCCAGGGCGCTCTAAGCATGTCCTTAATAATGTCCACCACAGCTTTAAAATCCCTTGTAATAATACCAAAGTAAACAGAAGTGGTTGATAATCTCTGCCTCGACATATTTCCCTGGGTAACGCCCACAACATAGAACTCATGAAAGAATAAAAAAAACACTAATCAAGGAGAATTCAATGAGAAGAGACCATCACATGAAAACACAAGAGTAGCAAATTGCAGATTCTGCAAGAGACAATTGACAGGAAAATATAGGAAATAATTATAACAAGGCAGATCAAGCCGAACAAATAGTGTGCCAAACCAGGTTGTCCTAAATTCCTTAATCCCCATAAGATTTTCTCTATATTTGTATGCTTCATATTCATGTTCCTGATGCAGAAACAAAAAAACTCCAACTGTAGCAACATGTCATCAAAAGAAAATTATCACAAAGCTGAAAACTAATACACGCTATGATGCATAGGTACGGGTATTGATACCAGTACAAGATACGGCATTTTTTTAAAAATCAAGGTACGGGCACGTTAAAAAAAATTAAGAGTTTCTTATAAAATATTTGAGTAGACAACTAAATTGTTAGGTTCATAACAAAATATTACTATAAATTATAAAAGATAAAGAATAATGTTACAATACAATAACAAAGAAATTAAAATACATAAATATATTATATTGATATTTGAGAAAACCATAAATTTCATTAAAAATCGAATAATGAGAAAAAATAAAGTACCACGAGTACGGTACGTGTACCAGGTACGGGTTCGTACCCGGTACCGGTCTTCACCATTTTAGAAGTACTCATGATTCAGAGAATACACGTATGTAATACAATAACCGATCTTATCCAAGGCTGAACGCAAAGTATGTGAATTTCTTCTCACAAGTTTCAATAGCAAATCAATCTTATCCAAGGCTGAACGGAAAGTATGTGAAAACAAATCTCAAAGAACTAATAAGAGTAGATGCTGAGTATGAAAAAGACAGAAATGTGAAGATTCTAAGTAAATATGACCAAATTAAGGCCTAGCAACAGTATGGATTATGAAGTATCATACAAAATTCAATTAAGAAGGTTATTATAGTTCGACAACCACGCTGCATAAAATCACATTCAAAATTCAATTTACATGTATGGCAATAAAAGCCAGAATAAAATCAAACTTCAGAATTAAGAAATCAGAATATAAAACATGAAAAATATGCCCACAAACTACCTTTCCTGCAAAACCAGAGGAAATAAAAGATCAAGAATAACATGCTTTCAAAAGGGGTAAAGAATTATGAATACTTATAGATTTAAAAAAATCATCAAACCGAGACTCAAGCTCCAAGCTTTATTGAATAAATTTTTGACAAACCAAGCTGCAGAAAAACAGGTTTAGAATTCAAATTTAATGTCTTGCGATCAAAGTCCAAAATATAAAGTATTAACAAACGACTCTTTTTTATACCATTATCGTTCTTATCCATTGTAACGTGTAAAATCAATAACTGCAAACTGCTCCAGATATTAAGAAATCAGCTCGCAACAATACTGATAATTGTGTCAATATTCTTTTAATTTTTAGGAGTGTTGAACAATTATCAAATGAAGCATTATACAAAAAAACCTACACATATTATCAAAAGAGTATTGGAAGACACTCGACTAAATACCAAACGAGACCATTAAAATATGAACCCGATCAAACCCCTACATCAAAAGACCAATGTAAACCAAGGGAGGAAATGGAGTGAATATAAAAACATGATTATCAATCAATGAAGAGGAAGATTGAACTAGAAGGATAAAAATCAACATTTACATTACATTGCTATAGAACAGAAACTATTACAACACAGGTCCAAGGAAAAAATGAACCGTTATCCAACATAGAACTCGTGAAAGAGTCTAGCATATTGCAGATTTTGTAAGAGACATCTATTTGGGAAAGAAAACGTATTGTTATAATTATATAAGACACAATTGTCAAGAAAATATGGGAAATAATTATAACAAGGCAAATCAACCTGAACAATAGTGCGCCTAACCAGGTTGTCCGAAATTCCCTAACCTCCCTAAGATTTACTCTATATTTTGTATGCTTCATCTTCGCATTCCTGATGCAGAAACACAAAAACTACAACTGTAGTGAGACATGCCATCAAAAGAGAAGTATCGGTTGCAAAAAAATCCCTATTGACAAAGAGGAAATAATTATAACATGACAAACCAACCCGAACAAAAGAGTGCCAACCCAAGTTGTCAGAAATTCCTTAACCTCCTTAAGATGTACTTATTTTGTATGCTTCATTTCACATTCCTGGTGCAGAAATACAAACTCGAACTGGTATCACACATCCGAAAACTGAAAACGAAAACATCCGAAAAGTATTACATGTATGTAATACAACAACCGATCTTATCCCAGGCTGAACACAATGTATGTGAATGTCTTTTTGTCACATATTCCATAGCAAAATCACAAGGAACTGACAAAAGTAGATGTTGAATATGAAAAAGACAGAAATGTGAAGAGTCTAAGTAGAGATGACCAAATTAAGGCCTAGCAACAGTATGGACTATGAAGTCTGCCAAAGATGATGATTTTGTTCCACAGACTTCCATCCGATTCACAAGATTGTGAACTCATATGAAATGACAATTTTATTTTCATCCTAATACAGAGGAGTACTTTAACCACTGCAAGGAAGAAGATATATTTTTAGAAGTATAATCATCATCATAAATCACAAATAACAATTTTTAAAAATAGTAACAGAAGATTATAGTTACCAAGAAAGCCCCAAAAAGCTTTTCCAATTTCTGCAAAATACAATTTGTATGTGTTGCAATCAAAGCCCGGAATTAAAAATAGTAAAAAATGAACCATTGAAAAACTTCGATGGGGTTATCTTGAGTTATTCTCAATTCTTGTCTGTTGTATCAAGACATTATGGATATACAAACTTCTCAGCTTGCTGTGTAACAGATAAATGCATCTCTTGATTATTAAATGAAGAATTGAATCTAAAAGTTATAGAAACAATACAGTCTGACAAAAACATATCAATATGCAAATTATCAATGATCTCCGTTAACACATACAAAAACAAAGACTAGATAACCCTTAAGTTAAGAAAAAAGATAAAGTAGAATACAAGAAATCCAGAAAATCTGGCCACCGAATCAAGGAATCAAGAATCGAGAGAAAATTGAACACAATACAATCTTTGATAGAAGATTATAGAAAACATTTCCCCGAACACATGCTGTCCGAAATTTCTCATGTTGTACACAGATCCCTAAGAAAATAGGATCAACAAACCCTGACATCAAGACATTGCGGAGCAAACAATCTGCAAAATTTGAGAATCAAGAAATCAAAATCATATTGTTATACTGCGGAAAAACAAGTTCACAATTCAATTCGTATGTCCGAGAAATGAAAATAAATGAAGAAACTTGATTTCTCAAAAGCTGTTCATTAAGAATCCCAAATCGCTGCAATGAAGAACTATATCAAAATATTCTTGAGAATTGATCCATAACACAAGAGTCGAAAGAACTCTGAAACTCGCCATAGCTACAATCCGAAAAAGCGAGCCATCGCGAAGCAAACAAATATGTGCAAACCAGTAGAACAAAAAAAACAAAGAAGAATCAAAAGAAAGATATGACCAACTATTTTCGGTAAAATATTCAGGGTTGAGGAGGTTTATATAGAATTTAGAATCAGGATTAACGGCTGCGATATCGCCAACTGTGTAACAATGGACGGTCACATTGCAATTAAAATAAAACTGTTAACGCGCTGTTCTCAAAATAAGGCGGTGTAGATATGCATGAATTTAGAATTATTAAATTTATATATCAAATATTTATCATTTTAATATTTTTTTATAGTTAAAAGATAGTGTATTTATAAAATAGTTTTACATTGTATTTTAATGAAATTTTATTATTTAATTATGTTATATAACTTATTTAAAAATAATAATATAATTTAATATTTAATATAATTATAATTGATTGATAATATAAACCTAAAATTTGTATTTTTATATGGGATAAGATATGAAAATTTTATGGCATATGTATATCGTATAGATGAATATTTTTATTTTCTTTTAGATAATGATTTAGGTTGAAATCATTTTGGATTGATAAATTTAATCTCTATAACCAAAATTAAATAAGAAGTTAAAGAGTTGTATTGTCTAATTTTAATAATTTAAATATAGATATAATTTATACAGAGTTAAATAAAATAAATTTAAATAAAATAAAGTAGAATAAAACTATGATTATAATTATAAAATTATAATATTTATAAAAATAGAAATATAAATGAATACTTTAACCAAAATTCAAATTAATAAAAAAATTTACAGCTAATAATTATTTAAACTGAGAAAAGAAAGTCGTTAATAAAAATTTAAGTTTTATTTTTAAATTATTATAAAATAAATTTATCTAAAGTATTATGAATTATTAAATATTCTTTTAGATTGTTTCACAAAAATATGAATTTATGTTTTTTTATTGGTTTATCATTTTTTTTAGTTTTAATATCTCTATTTTAAATATTAAAATATAGATTAAATTTTGTGTTGGATTTTAATCTTTGTTTCAACTTTTCTAACTTAAGTTTAATTTTTAATGATATGGTAATATGTTGACGACTTGATATATCCCCATTTAATTTATATGTCCTATTAATCTATTTATAATTATTTTTTATAATTTTAAATTAAAAATTCAATAATATTAATTATTTCTTATTATTTAATAAATAAATTATAATTAATAATATTAATATTAAATTTATTTAATTGATATTAAAATTATATTCTATTATTTTATCACACTAGTGTATATACTCGTGTGAGACACGAAATAAAATTTCTTATAATAAAAAAATTATTTAATAATTATTACGATTTATAAATAAAGACATAATAATATAATAATAAGTGTATATGATATTGATAGTACATATGAAATAAATAATTTAATTATTTAATAAGTAATGATTACATAATTTCTATTATAAATAAAAATTTGATTGAATTACCAAAAATAATTACACCATTATAAATAGATGTACTAAAAAATTTTAAAATATTTAAGTATTTTGAGTTGACCTAACTCATCGGTTCAGGCTCCTTACAAATATAATTAATATATTTATCAATTACCTAACTAAAAATAAAACATGTCTAAACTCTCCCTAATCAACTACCTATGTAAGAATAAAACATGCATAACCCCTCTCTCTCTAATGTACCCTTCTTTACAAATTTTATTTACACTAAATGATGCCTTTTTATAATTGACTAATTAATATTGCATTGACCAATCAAACTACACTTCTGCCACCTGGCAGCTTCATGTGCCATTGGCCTCATAACCACATTTTTTTTTCTCTTTCATAAAAAAAACATCTAATATAAATATATAAATTTTAAAGTATATGGAAATTTCAAGTATAACCTTCTGACTTCACGTTATAACTTTTCTGATTTTAGGGATAAAAGGAATTTTCTAAACTATTGCTTCAATGTTATGTATTTGGTATTTAATGTTGCTGAGGTGTTAATCATATATTTTTTCAAGCTGAATTTTCTTTTATTTTATTCTATTTCATACTGATTTTTCGATGCAAAATTTATTTACACAACTTCACATTTTTCAAATACATCTTAAAAGTAATTCAAAAGTCACTTTGATAGATACAATGTTCCTTTGGGAAACCAAAATCGATTGCAACTATACATCTTCTGCCTGCCCATATTGATAAGTAAAGTTGGTAGAATCCTTTCGTATTATATAATTGATCCATTATAGCATTAAACTTTTCAGTTTCCACTTTCCCATTTACACATTAAATAACCTTCACTAACAAACACAACTTGATATAGAGTTTATCACTTTCTCACTTGCAATGGACAAATCGAAGCTATGACTGTTTTGAGACAGCCCAAAACCAATAGCTCCAATCTGAGTTGAATCGTATGCAACAAAATGAAGGAAATACTCGAAACTCTGATGCCGGAATCAAAGACTGTTAACAAAGCCACATCGGAAGCGTCAATTCGACTAGAAAAACCATCATGTTATTTCACGTTACCTCAATTCATTTATGCGGTTGAGGATTTCGATCGAGTAATCTTTGATTTTATTTATGCTAAGGTAAAATTCTTTAGTTCACGTCTCTTTGATTTGATCTATGGTGTTTATTTGTTGTTGTATTCCATGATTATGATTTTGTTTACTTTTTTTTAATGATTGAGAAATTTATATTTGTAATGAATCGATTTGTGTTTGTAATCTTTGATTCATTTTAGCTAATTTAATCAATTATTTTGTTTCTGTATTTATAGATCTGGTGAATTTTTGTTTAAATCATGTAATTTAATTTTAAAAGTCATGAGCTTTTAATGTTTTGGTTTTTATGGATCTGTTAAAATATTAGACTGATTTGCAATTGGAGTTCGTTTAATCATGGATGAAAATTAGATTTTTTCTGATGGATATTTTAAATTTCAGGTGAAACATCAAAAACCTTGATATCGTTGTTCATCTTTTTCGACACCAGAATCCAGAATTAAACAAGCATGTCTCAACCAATCGGAAGAAAGATATTTGTAAGCATTTAGATTTTTTTCTATTCCACTCATTCATTTGTGTTTAATGCATTAATACCTCAATTTTATAACATTGATTTGTTTCATTTTCTAGGACTATCATTTTACACTACAAACGAACAAATCCTGAAGTTGTTCTCTCCATTCTGAGAACTTGCTGAAGGTGTGTGTATCCACTTTTTCCCTTATCAGCCTCTAATTACATTGCTATATTGGTTCTGATATTCAGTTTTTCAAATTGAGAGTTGTGATAATTGGTTAGGAGATATTCTGTTGTTTTTTTATCAATAGCTCAAGTGAAATTTTTTAGCATGTGTTTAGATAAAATAATTGAAAGTCAAATCACCATGTTGTACCCCAAAATTTTCTCTCTCATTTATCAAATATTTTCTCACAAGATCTCCTTTGGTTCAAGACTGCACAAGGATTGATCAGCTCAAGACACCTCCTTAAGCACTGATGACTGAAATTAGGGTTTGAGATTGCACAAGGATAATTTAACTTTTAATGCCTCATATTACTTTCATGGATCATCATGGACCCTCAAGATTACTCATGTCAAGTTTCAAGTCATGGATCACATTTTTGCTCAGTCAATTGGGCAGTTGACCTAAAAATCAGTTGTATTGAGAAAAAAATAAATTATGGTCAATTTACAGTCAAACTTCATAATTTTTTATCCATATCAACATTATAAACTCATATTTATCATTTGATCAAGTTTGGACCATAATTCCTCAAAAAATTTGATCAGATCATCAAAAGGGCAAATGGTCAAAATTAGGGTTTTGACTGAGAAAAGGCAATTTCTGATTTTTGACCTAGCAAATGGTTAATTGGTTTGAGGCATGATTTAAAGATTTAAATTGAATCATTTTGACCTAATGGCATGACTTAAAACATTGCTCAAGGTCATTTGATTGATAGTTGATTTTCCAGTCAATTGATCAAAAGTCAATTGTACACTGAAAAGTCAAACTTTGACTTTTTGGTCAAAATCAAATGTCAAAGATCATAATTCATCAAAACATATCAAAATATGAAACTTGTTCATCAAGAAATCAAGAAGTCAAGATTTCATTTTGAAAAGTCAAATTTTCCAAACTTAGAAATTTTTCTAAGTGTTGAAAACTTCACATTTTTTCACAACTTTGAGCCAATTTTTCACCATGATGCAAGATGATTCAAAAGAAACTTTCAACATGAAAGTTGTAGATATCCATGAGATATAAAACATTTCTTTACACAACTTCTCCTAGAAATTCTTGGATCTAAAGTTATTAATCCATGAAGTCATGGTCATGAAACTAAACACTTAGTGAAAATTTTGCCCTAGTTTAGGCAGGATTTTGACATAACTTCATGGCAATTTTTCATAAAGTTCCAAGGGTAATTTTGAAAAGTGATTCAAAGAGGGGTTGTAGAGCATATTACAAGCTTTACAAAATGTCCTAGAACTCATTGAGATCATTCTTGAGCAAGGATAATCGAAGAGAGGAAGTTAGGGTTTCAAACTGAAATTATAGGTCATTTTTGTGATGAACAAGAATTCAATCTCAAGCCTATGCTGCACAAACTTGCTTTGCAGGCCTCTAAACCTCAAAATATCTCCCTAATCAGAAGAGTACACTTGCTTTTGAGCTATTATTCATTTGATTCAAGTTTTATCCAATATAATTTTCCATTAATGGCACAAAGGCACCATTGCCATTTACATAAAGCAAACTTTATGCAAAGTCAACTTGCATTGAGCTTTGCACTTGTCCCTTCTACACAAGCTTCCTCTACAAATTCAGATAAGCATGTTTAAAGTTGGTAACCACCCTAGATAGCTTTTTACTTTGCCTTGAAACCATACTTGTCAACCTAACTTCAAAAACAAGTCAAAAACTCATAACATGTGATTCTTTGTTTCCGATCATTTCAAACCTCAAAACCTTTCCTCTATAAATAGAGATATTATTTGCAAGAGAACACACACATACACAAGCCCTAAAACACACTAGAACTAAGAACTATATAAAAATCACCATTGTTGCACATTCTGACCAAAAACTTGAAACTCACATTTCCCTCGTGCGTTTTCAAGCCTTTTGGTTCCTAAAGCTTCTAAACATTAAATACAACTCATCCTTGTCCATGTTACACGACTGTAACTCCATTTCCATCATCCTCCATAGCCAAAAATAGAGTATTGCACATTGACTTCTCCAAGCCATTTCAGCCACTCTCAACTCAAGCTAACCATTGCATTAGCTTCTTGAGAACTTGAGGAAGCTAACCTGATCATTGCAACACCTTGAATCAAGCTCATTTGCATTTCACGATTTCTAGTTTTGAGGTATTATTCTTGAACTTCTATCTCATTACTTAGGCATTGTTAGGCTTGCATTTGTGAAGATAAAATATAGACATCATTGCCCTGAAGTTGTACATGCCCATAGATTTTATTTATATTGATTGAGCTAGGAGAATTTTGGGATTGAACCTCTGAAAATAATTAGGTCAGAATTTGGTACTTTCAAAAATTCTCATTCATCTTTGATTTATAGCTTATGATATTTATATGGTTGGATTCGCATGGAAAAATGGAGCAACTTTCATGTTTGCATATTTCATTTTTATTGAGAAATGGTGAAGTTACATATGATCTGGCTGGAGGTTGAAGATGAAGTTCCATATTCAGGACTTGCTTTTGTATTATGTATTTATCATTTCAGTTAAGTTAATGGATGTACAGCCACCCCAGTGGTAAGGCAGCTCACGTTATTGGTAGAGGTCGTGGGTTTGAACCTCAGCGCTGCCTTTTGTTACTTTTTTTTTACATTTTTACACTTTCTTTGGTTTTTGCAGCGCCTGGGCCCCAAATATTGGGCCTTCGTGTTTTTTTTCTAACTTGCTGACCCCTGTCTCATTTCAGCACCCCCTGGCCCATTATTTTTCTTTGTTATTTTATTTTATTTTTTTATTTTATTTTCATTTTATATTTTATTTATTATTATTATTAATGATAAAAAAATCCAAAAAATCTTATTTATTTATTTGCATATTTAGAAAATGCTCATTTATATTTTATTTTCTTCATAAAAACAAAAGAACAAAAATATTTTCATTTAATAAATTAATTTCTTTTTTTATTCAATAAATATTTAGACTAGGGTTTTAACTATTATACTATTTTCTTGTGAACAAAATTAATTTAGAACTTAGGTTTATTTTAATTGATTAATTTTCATTTGTATTTTCATTAAGATAAAACCTTTCATAGAAAAGCCCTAAAAATACTTTTTTAACTTAACTTATTTCTTATTTATTTTAAATTTAATTTTGTTTAACTTTTAGTTAATCTTCTTTAATTAGGTTAAAACCATTTTTTATGAAAAACCAAACAAAAAATCACATTTCTTTTTACATTTACATTCTTGCATTTTTATTTATTCATTTTTTTATACAATATTCAATATGGTTGTAATAATTATTTAGATTTAATTTTCTTGCAATTTCTCCATTTGTAATTTGTACACCCCCTCCCTCCCCTAAATGATGTAATAGCATAGAATATTTACTTTCTGCAATTTATCGCTTTATATAAATGCTAGTAATTAGGATTTGTATGGAAATATTAAAATCAACAAATAACAAACCTTAATCAAGACAAATCAAGGATGTAAACCAATACACTTGCACACATACACCCCTATGGTAAATCCACTTTGTTGCCTTATAAAATGGTCATATTATGCATGTGAGATATCTTAGCAAAAATACAAGATCATAGTTCCTCGATGACGCTATCAAAGTTGCCTTTCAAAAATGATCTTAGTCCCTAAAAAAATGCTAAGATATCTTACAATATTGCTAATCATGGTTATACGATAACCCCACGCCCGTCCCTTTTACATCCAAAGATAGGGTTACTTACCAAATCAATGGTAAGATGACAATGTCAAAGGAAAGAGGAAATAAACATAAAGACTTTTGAGTAGGTAGATTGTTCCTAGTTGCTTGCTCAATTTCAAAACCAAACATCCTTGCTATTTTCAAAACAAACACCAACACTTTAAAAAAAAATCTTTCAAACTTGAAAACATTTTCAAAAGATCAACGCTTTGTAAACATTCTTACGAACGAGAATCATTACAAAGTTTTCCTAAACGATGGCATCTTTACAAAATACTTTCAAAAACCACACAAAGCACATTTTCAAACAAAAACAAGTGATCTAGAAAGCAACTAAGATCCCGTAGATAACTACGGATGAAAAGGGTGCTAATACCTTCCCTTTTCATAATCTACCCCTGGAACTCAAGAAAACATCTCAAAGGTCTTTCCTGTTCTTTTCAGCCTTTCCTTTTGGATAAAAGAAAAGTCGGTGGCGACTCTTGCTAAACCGCAACATTTACAATCAAACGCAAAACGACCAAGTTAGTTCTCCCACCGCGTTATAGAACTGGTGACTCTGTTGGGGATAATTTTAAAAGTGGGGTTACCTTAGGGCTAGATCACATTTATTTGCTTTCATTGTTTGACTTGTATGCTTTACATTTTGGTTCTTTGTTTAGGTTTGAATCCTCCACATCTAGCCATACCATTCGAGTGGACCGATCCATCGACATTTATACAAATCTAATCTTCTACTAGAGCGCTCCATTTAGCCTGATGGATGATAATCTTTTTAGTTATAGAAATCTATGTTTTTATTTTGACAGCATCCATGTATTCCTTAGCTTTTTGTACAAGTTCTCGACCTAAGTTATTAGGCACAACGTCGTCCTCCACGTGCTTCCTTTGATTTCTCCAATACCATATAGTGTGACAAGTAATTTTCCATATCTCTTTCCAGTTGGCATAGTCATTCTTGTGAAACTGTTGGTTCATGTTGAATTCGATCCAACCTTGTGAGATCAAACTAAAGAAATGGTCCTTGTGAATAAGA